CTTGACTTATTAAACTAATAAAAATCGTTTTAAGAATGGGATGTTCCTACATTATCTGTTATTAATTTTCAACAGCATAATATATATAATTAATATAGATTACCTTCATCATATAATTAAAAGATAGATATCCTATTATCTTTAATATCTACTATCAGTATGAAATATCTAGAATACACATATGTATAGGAAAATGTAATAACTTTAAATTTTATATTATGTAATTATGTTACTTTTTTGTAATTTACATACCTATTTGTAATTTCTTCCATACGTTTCTTATACTTATTATATTACACACAAAATCAAACTCAAAGACTATTTTACAACATATATATGTGTGTGTGTGTGCGCGCGCGCGCATGCGCGCCTGTGTGTATAAATGTGTGTGTGTGTGTGTACTCATATTTAAAAAATTCCAATTTTAAAATAATGTAAACAAACAATGCATTGTCTAATATAAGAATTTAAAAAATTTACAAGATCAAAGGCTAGTATTCAGTCCGTACTTATTTTAAGACCGTCTTAAGTAATGTCTTAAGATGCTAATACAGCCCTCTAATTAGCTTATGACATGTTAAGACTGTACTTAAGATAGTCTTTTCTTTCTTTTCGTTAGGCTTCTGGTCTGTGTTACACCTCTCATATGCTTGTGGTGCGCACGCTGATTATTCAATTGCCACAAGTATATGAGATCTACAGTCGGAAAGTTGCTGGCCTTTTCCGAGAAGAAATATGAGCGTAAATATTTTGATTCCTACCTGGAGCGAACCGGGGACTTCTGTTATGATAGACCAAAACGCTATTTGCTATGTTATGCTCGTACTCGCGAGATTTAAGAGATTCAAATATAAGAATTGACTATGAATATCGGCCACAGAGCCATCTTAAGACATTACTTAAGACGATCTTAAAATAAAAACCATCTATGAATATCGACCGAAATAATTATTATATATTATGTAGTGTTATAATATGTTATAACATGTCGACATTGAGCATATAACAAAAAAAACAATATAGTTTTTCAAAAAAGCAATACACCAATAATTATTATCGCTTCAGTAATTTCTGCAATTTATAATGAAACTTCACAGAACGTATTCATTATGTAACAATTATCAATAGTCATTGTGACATTTGCTCCTCAAAACCTTTTTACAATTCTATATTTGAAAATTTTTTAATTTATTTACGATTATTACCTATGATGAATCATTTTCTTATACTAAAAAATGAATAGAAACTTATTGTTACACATAACGTGTGAATAAAATGCAAATTATATAGATTTCTGACAAATTATTGTTCAAACATCTTCATAATATTATTCTGTATTTATCCTGTGGTCTTAATATATATATAGTTATATTGTTTTAATATATATATATTTTTTATCATCTACATATAATATTACAAACACAAGCATACTTTTACATCTTAATTTTACAACAAATTAGTCCTTTCTGCATTTAATGCAAAAAATCTACAGCACAGCTTTATATATATATATATACCTAATCTGTTCTGTTATTTGAAAAATAGTGTGAAGTCCTATTGTGAATGCTATTGTGATACCTATATTTAATACTTAATGAACGTTATTCTTAACAATATAAGTTAAAATATAGCAACGAAAGCTTTGCGAATTTGATCAAAGACTACCCGATCGTTGCAGTCTTTCCAATTTTCATCTAATATAAGAAATATAAAGTGCAAATTACCTTGAAAACTTCAGCATACTGAAGAATAAGTTTGTGATAAAATATATCCATAGATATTCGACGATTTACGCTCTTTTTCTTTCAACCAATTTCAATTCCCTGTAGCTGTAAATAGATACGCATTGCACACATGACGAAGATACATTTCTCAGATAAAAACGGGACCGAATGTACAATAGTGATTTTTTGCTACAGGCACAATTAGTTCAACATAATACCATCATCGTCTATATCCATGACACTAATTGGATCCAAGGATGGCATATCGGCACTCTTGCGTATTTCACGTGATATGTTCTCCAGTGTTTCCATTTCCATTCCGACATCCTCTACTAAAGTCTTCGTAATAATCTCTTCTCGCTGCTGAACTTCAGCAGCAGCAAGATCAAATACTTCCTTTAATATCTCGGTTGCCGCATCCGCAGAGCTATTATCCGGAACATAAGTTGAATCTTCTTGTACTTCGTACTTATTATTCATTGCATTACTCTCGACTACCAACTCCTCGAGCTCCTTCAGCTCTTCTTCTAATTTTCTGTGCTTATCTGTTTGGACTGTGTCTTCTATCTCTTTTTTCGTTCCGTCGACATCGTTGTCGCTGTTTATTGTAATATCTTCAACGTCGTCTTCCATCACTTCGTCGTGTGTTTCGCCATTTAGAAGATCTGGCATATCTCTTACACTATTAGGTTCATCAACATCTGCAATAATTTCGACTTCTGTATTTTCTTCATTGGACTTATTTTGTTGTTTTTGCAATTGTTCGATCTCTTCTATCGCTATTATGTCATCTAAATCATTTTTTTCATTTAATGTTCCTGTTTCATCAGTCGGCAAAATTTCTGGGAGATTTTCTTCTGACTCTTCTATATGTATCTTCGAAGACTCATCTATTAAATCGCTTTGTATTTCTGGTTCTTCTATTATTTCATCTCTATCATCATCTATAAAGTTATTTTCGCAACTTTCGTCTTGATCCTTGTTATCCTTTGTTCTGTTATGATTTGATAAAATTGATAAGCTAGTCATTTCATTATCGCTCGTTGCTTCCTTATCATCTTTATCATTATTACATTCACTAATATTTTCTTTTTCTGTGGAAAGAACTTCCGTGTCATTTTTTATTTCTACATCTTTGTCTTTCTCCTTATTTTCATTCTCCACGTTCTTATGATTTTTTAGTATAGCAACAGTAGCCTCCTGTGCATCATTGTCTTCAAATTTGTCACTGTCTCTGTCTAATGTTTTATCCTCATCCTTCGTCGTATGTTCATCCTTTACATCTTTATTCGATCTATCTTCATCATCCTTTATCTCTATTACTGTATCGTCCGAGGTAACAGAATTTTTACATTTTTCAGATTTTGTTTTTTCAATGTTTTCATCATTTGTAGATTCTTCTTCTAAGCGCGATTCACTCGTCGCTACGTCCGGTTTTTCGTCTGTGTCACTACTTTCGTCACTTTTCTTTTCCTCCATTTTTTCCTTTGCATTTTTTGTATCACCTAAACTGCAGGGCTCGTCGTTAGTATTGTCTTCGACATTGATAATTGCGTCCTCCAATGAATCATCGGTACATTTGTCGATGGATATAGTTCTATCGGAACGCGACGTCACTTCTTCAAAAATCTCATCTTGTGAAATGAGATCTGTTTCCTGTTTCACCTTAATATTCGCAACAGTTATCTTTTCTAGTTTTAATGCAGCTTGCTTGAGATGTGTCAATTTATGTTTCGCACTGGACAACTTAGAGTCAAATTTCTTATTACATTTGTCGCAAGTGTACTCAGTTTTAACTTCTGACTGTGACAGAGATTTCGGACTTTTAAATTCCGTCGATGTCATTTCTGTGCTGGACATAGAAGACGATCTTGTCCTACTGCGGATATTGCTTTCTTGTTCTTTTTTTGTAGGCGTAGTCGACGAACTCGTAACTTTTAGCCTATTTTTTAAACTCTTATTTTCTTCAATGGATATCTCGTCGCTAGAGTCAGAACGCGCGCTTGAGGTTGTTCCTTTAATTTTCTGTTTTTTCTTTGTATCATGTACATTCTCATTTAATTTAATTTTATCTGTCTCTTTTTGTTTTTGAGAACCTTCAGAATCAGAACTCTTATTATCCATTATTCTTTTACGTCCCCGCGTTTTCGTCAAATGTGTGTTGGACTGTTGCTCTGCATCAACTGAAATTTTTCGCTTTTGAGGACTGTCAGAATCCGAACTTCTATTATCTATTGGTCTTTTACGTCCTTGCTTTTTCGTCTGTTGAGTACTGGACTGTTGCTCTGCATCAACAAACGCTTTTTGCTTTTGAGAACCTTCAGAATCCGAACTCCTATTATCTATTCTTTTACGTCCTCGCGTTTTCATCAACTGAGTATCGGGCTGTTGTTCTGTGTCGATTGTCGTTTTTGATGATTTCTCCTCGTTTGTGTCCGTGTGTTCATTACTGATTCTTGTCACTTTCGATGGTGTACGTTCGACATCACTTCTCGATCTCACTACGCCAATTTTCCGTTTCTTTCCTCGTCTTGCTTTACCATTAATTATGTGATTCCTCATTTTAGGCGAGATACTCAAAGAACTACTTTCTTCGGAATATTTTGCTTCTTCCTGAGAATTAACGAACGATGCATTATCATCCTTATCTTTTTCCATTTCGTGTGCCTTATCTTTCTCTGTATTGTGTATTTCATTTTTCTCCATCTCGCATGTCTTGTCTTTCACTGTCTCGCGTGTTTTGTCTTTCACCGTCTCGCGTGTTTTGTCTTTCACCGTCTGGCGTGATTCGTCTTTTTCCGTTTCGCATGTTTTGTCTTTTTCTATCTCATGTGTTTCATCTTTCTCCTCTTTCTTAAGTGATTCATGGCTCAGTACATCTTTCAAAAAAACCGCGCATAATTTCGTTTCTGTCTTGGATTGTATCTGGCGAGATCGTCGCTGCGACTTAGCAATACTCGGATCCATCGTTATCCAACAATTTTTGCAAACCGTTAGACCTGTGCGATAAAATCTGTACATGTCGATATCGTTCGCAACAGTATTATGACACTTGTCACAACTTCTGACTTTCGATTTGTTGCTTTGTGATTTCATTTGTACATTACTCTGCGCCTTACGTCCTTTAATGTGCCGCTTACTACGTGCCATGTCCTCGTTACTATCACTATCAGAATTTATTGAACCATAAAATGTAATATCTGGAAACGTGGTAATGGTCGTTTTGCGATTTACAACATCTGTGTGTATCTGCAATAAAATAAGTATAATTATAAATATTAATATAAATGTCATTAAAAATAAACAAATCAACACAAAATATAACATAACAAAAAATATAGATACATGATTAGATAATAAAAGTAACTTATTTTTTCTTTTTATATTAGCAATCCTGCAGTCTGTTATCACTAACCATTTTTTATCTCAAAATCCAAATTTTATTGCGATTTTACTTTTATTACAAACATGTCTTAACATTTTTAACTACTAGATTGAAAGAACACAAATCCTCATCAATTGGAGATGGAGTAGAGAAGGGATTAAGATTTAAAATGGACAGTGATGACAAGTTGCAGGGCTAATATGAGAAAAAAAAATTAGCCTATGTTAACCCTAAGTATATATACACACTGGGGTTCCAGAAACTCCAGAACAATTTGCTAAATCAAGATTTTTTCGTGCTTCTGAACTGAACTTTTACTTTGACATCTCAAAGCTTCTTAATTCTATTGACTTTTATACATTATGGACTTATTCCTTAATCAATTCTCCATAGATTGAAAAAAAATTGATTGAAATATCCATTTTTACGGAAATTATAATAATAAATATGAATGGGGTACCAGGCCGCCGAGTATGTATATCAAGAGTAGAAAGTGTATAATTAGGGTTAAGGCTTCTTTTATCTCGGTTAAGCTAATATACTATTAACTCATAGTAGTGCCAACAATTCAATGTGGCAAGTTAACTATTAGTTACCTTAACTGGAGATTAATAAAAGATGCCCTTATGTTTATTTCTATCAATATAGATTAAGTTTAATCTTGATTTAATTTACTCTTTATCCTTTCCTAATTCTTAGAATAAGAAAAAGATAAAAAATAAGTTAAACTAAGACTAAAGTTAAATCTACAAATAGAAACAAACATTATTGTCTGTGTACATAATTCATTATAATTTGCAATAATTTATTATTACCTTTGGATAATTTGAATAGTTTATCTCTTCATTAATCAAAGCCTTTAAATTGTTGAATGAATCTTGATATATCCTTTTCAGATCATATAAAACATCCAAGTTATATCGACACGTTAGGCATATTAACCACGAATTGTTTTTCTTGTTAATCTGCAAGAATAGAATATTAAAAATATAGACAACTGTAGTTACATTATTTTCTTGTGGTAAAAAGGAGCAATTTAAACTTACGTCATCGTTGAAAATGCTGCGGATCTTCCGTAAAGGATTAAATACGCTCTTGTCCTTGCTAATGTCGAAGATACGGTTACTTTCCACTAATTCGTAGCACAGAAAGCAACATCGCATTGACGTTTCAACTTTTGGCTCCGGCACCTTGTGCGAGTTCCTATACTTTTGTACAAACTTAGTGCACTGATCTAATTCATACGCGCATTTATAACATATCTTGTTCGACAGATCGATGCTCTCGTTAATCTAAGACAATAGAACAGGTTATAAATTTGAGAGACAATTATTCTGAAATTGGCCAATTATTATTCTTAATTTTAAATCATCTTTCTTTCGTTACGAATGAAAGAAAACAAAAATCTGAATCATTCTGTGATACACACATGTTCGAAACTTTTATCAACAAATGAACCAATATAGTCGGATGATTTAATAAGATCCAAGTAAATGCAATAAAAATGACACAACACGATAATATCCAGTTGTACAGTTATCCAAAAATTCAAGTCTAATTAAATTTCTTCGGAAATTTGCGATATAAATAAATATAAATATAGAATTACGAGTCGGCCAGGAGACCAAACTGAGTAAAGAACTTCAATCATACACTGTGTACATATTTTTATATACATACACACATAACGCATACACATTACGCACGTACGTTCCGCAAAATGTCGGTAAAACGAAATACGAGATGGATACTAGACGGACACGCTCCACGTTGTCTCGCTCTTATTTTTTTTTTTCGCAAAGAAAATATTGCTTATTCGGCTTGCCGAATAAAAAAAAATCAAAACTGCATGCAAGTCATATGGCTCGTCACGCAATCACTTGCAACCCGCCATCCCTCGCGATATTCCGACTTCCGACCAAAACTTCGGAACTATTTGTTACGGCGTAGTAACAGACTGTCGTTTTCTCTTTCTCTCTCTCTCTGTTGCTCTTTGTTTCCTGTTTCAACGAGCGCAAGTTGCGGGTCCCGCTCACAGATGGCGCGACGTGTCACTTCTCGATGTACGCGTAATTAAGTTAATCATGCGCGAAACGCTAAATTGAAAAAAAAATGATCTGAAGGCGTCAATTTCTTGATTATGTTTGTACGGTAAAAAAAAAACAACGGACACGTTCATTGTCGCAGCTCCGAACACGCGAATTTCGACAAAAAGTCTCAAGCCCGAATCTAACCTATAAACCGGTATGATTCTAACCTAAATTCGGAGCAGCAATCTCCCTATGGAAATCTCGATCGCGAACACTCCTCGCGTACCGAAATTCTAACGAGGATTTTTGTCTCTCGATAAAATCGCCCGCGACTTGACTTGCTTTTCAGGACGGAAGCGAACAACCATCTATGTAGGTTTGTTCCTCTCTACAGCGTTTCCTGTATTTTTTGATTGTGAATAGAACTGATTTTTCTATTTATTTCCAAATATCGATGTAAAAGTTGATGGTTGAGCATAAGTAAATATCGTTAAAAGAGGCGAAATGAAGCGCGTATGTTGGACACAGATTTCAAGAATCGATCCCAATACGCGCGAATATTCGAGGGGTCGAATAAGTCCGAACAGTTTCCTCAAACCGGGGAGGGAAAAGGTGTCTTGCGCAGCGCTGTTGATTTACCGATCCTACCTTGGTGGACAAACACGTCCTGATCTGGTCGCCAAACGTACTACGATTATCAGGAGTGACGTCCAGGAAGACACCCTCGTTGCTCGCACACACAAAGCAGTAGTGGTCAGGCATTGCGACGCGCGAGAGGGGGATACGTAATCAGGGTAGCATCACCTCAAGTCGCCGGTCAGGACGAGATACGATCCAACGTGATCGTAAGATTCTTCACTGTACACAGTTTAATGGCGATCCGCTGTTTTCGCTAGGCTCGCTACTTGCGTTACTTCTTGCGTAGAGCGACGCGTGCGAATTCCTAGTTCCTATCTAAACTTACCGCGGTTGATTGTACAACACTACGAGTAGAGAATTGGCGGTAATCATCTACTCTACGTGTGATAGAACATGGCGGTCCGACGCCATCGATTATGTGACTGTGCGATAAATCGAGCGATGTATCGAAGGTGCAAGTCCCTTTGATTCATCCCATTCTCGCGTTTCTTCCGAGACTCTCCTTTTTCACGGAGCTTGAGATATTCACAATATTCTAAAATGTCCTCTCTGAGGAAAATTTTACTTGGAATATATAATAACTGTAACATATATTATAGTATGTACAGTAGATTTTTCCTCGGAGAGGACATTTTGGAGGAATGTAATTTTCCTAGAATTGATCGTCAGTGATTATCGACCTGTGCAAAGTTGAAGAAATTGATGATTCAATCGGTGAGGTCGAAGAGCCTCGCATCTGTATTGCGCGATTCGATATATCGATTGTTTGTCACGTACATATGTTGTCTTTTGAATTTAAATTTGAATTTAAGCTCACTCAGTTCTAATTTGAATTCTGCTACGCATTATGGATTGTCTAAAATGAGTATTACGTGACCGATGTTAAACAGCGTGACGCTGTATTTTATAACGTAAATTGTGCCTATCTAAGGGAGATATAAAAACGAAAACGAAATTTATTTGAATAACAACGTAAAATAACTATTGTACAAAGATATCTCACATTCAAACGCTAACTGGACGACTCATTCATTTGTCATTGGCTGCGTTCAGCAGAAAAAGCAACGTTACAATTGTTGTAAGATTCTTTAAAGATTAGTTTATTACCGATATTCATCCGTTTTTATTTCAAGACCATCTTAAGTAATATCTTAATATGCTAATGCGGTTCTGTAATTGGTGATTCACATCTTAAAATTGGACTTAAGACAGTCTTGTATATAAATAAAAGAGCTGATTATGAATATTGGTCTCAAATCCAGTAAAGAAACTAAAGGCAAAAATCAATCATATTAAAGAATCACTGAGCGTTCACTAATTAGTTTTCTCTGCTGTACGCAACCATTTATTTTATGACATTTTATCACGCTTATGTCACTTATCAAGACGATTACGTTATTATGTGTTGTTCAATTAACTATATTTTTATATTGCAATGACCGCGTTCAGCAGAATTATGCATTTATTTTGCAATTGTTGAAAGTTTTCTTCACTAAGATAGGATTATTCTTCTAGATGTAAAAGAATAATTTAATCTGCGCCAAATGCTAATTACTAAGCACTAACTTCTTCTGAACACGGCGAATGTTTTATAGCTGAAATCCGTTTTAGACGACTTATAATTCGCGCCTAATTTCAGGACAGAATTCTATTTATACGAAATAAAATTCCGTCCTGAATTCTTACACGAGTTACAAACTGTAATGAAAAAACAAACTGTCTGAAATAGATTTGTTTTGAGATTTGTTTTGGCATGAATAAACAGTGCGGAATCGTGGCTTGAAACATCACAGTGCACGCCATGACGAAAGCCTGAGTGCGAATCACGTCTCGTCATGTCTTCAACATTCAGCTAGACACTTTTCGGATTCCCTGTGCGGTCTCGTTTGTAATCGACAAGTCCTCTATTCGATCCTTCGGTTCGCCAAACAGAAGCTTGAGGGTTTCTAATGCTGACGTGAATATACTCCTATAACATAAAAAATAAATATATCGGAAACAATTATCAATTGTATTATACTGATTTATCTTTAAAAAATTGACTGACAGCCCTGATAGCATAAGCATTGTTACAATATATCGTAAGTTTTTTTTTATATAAAGCCCATTCTACAATTGCATAAGCGTGGTTGTAAGAATTGATCAATCAGATACAATTCTTACAACTACAATTACTTACAACTACATTTACGAAATTGCAGATTGGGGACTTAAGATGATTTTAAATACCTAATATAACTTTTTACATGCAGTATAGTTTTAATAATGTAGTTGCAAAAAATGCGTATGTAATTGATTGTCACTCGATTTTTATAACAATTACATTGTCTTTATATTAGAGTCATGTTTGTATATTACTGTCAGTTGACTGTCAGTAAAACTTGACTGAAAATCTATAAGTAATTCCCGTTACGTATATTATATTATACTAACAACTAGCAGTAATATACGAACACAGCTTAGGTCGATGCAAAAGGAATTAAAATTAAATTAAAATTATTTGACTGGGCGAATTTTAATCTTCAATTTAATCAATTAATTTAATTAATTTAAAACTAATTCGCAATCGTCAATCTCCAATGTGTAGTAGGTTCTTGTTGTATACAAGATTCATGATGCTATGTATACAAGGATCAAGATACAGAGACACTATAATTCGAATAAAAGGAGCTCCATATCAAGCATCTCGACAGCTGGGCCATCACCTGACGCTGTCCTTCATGTTCCCGTAGATTTCGCCGGGCGGCAGCTTCACGGAAGGTACCGTCTTCTCCACGAAGTCCAGTCCGACGCACACCGCGTTGTCGACGATCTTGAGCGGCGTTTCCAGAAGACTGGCGATGCTGCCGGTAACGGGGCTGGCGAACTCCAGACTCGCGCGCATCCCGTTCTCTGCGTGGCCTAGTATCGTCGCGACCGACTCGTGGGAACCTCGCACGGCTTTGTACGCGCCGCAGAACGTCGAAGTCACCGTGGCGAACACCGGCAAACCCAGCAGACGGCGTGTGCACGTCATGCCACGAACGTCCGCGTTGCCGGAATTCGCGGGTGCGATGCTCGGTACGGTGGGATCGTGCGTGCCGCACATGACGCTCAATTGCTGCGGGACAAACGGCACGACAGGTGTGAGAGGGCCAGGTATTGCATAGCGTGTTGCATAGACTGAATTAACTATGGAATAGTCACCTAGCTCTTTTTGCATAAACGATTATCCGGGATATTTTTCCATCTCAATCAAAATTCACGATTATTTATTATACGTTACTGTATTATACGTTCTATAATTTATTAATATTTGAAATTTATTCCTTTCTAAAAAGAAAAAAAATAAAGACAAATAAGAAAAACTATACGTATAAATTCTCGATCCGTATTTAAACAACAGTGTAGTTACATTCAAGATCAGTTAATAAATGTTAGAAGTAAATGTGTGTAAGCTGTAATATAAACGTAATATAAACTGACAAATAAACGTTTAAAATTTATATGTTTCTTAAACTATTTAATAAATTTATAAAAATGTTTATAAGAAATTTATGATATCTATTAAACGTTCTTTTACTATAGTTCAAAATATCATTTTTATGCAAGATATTTCGATTTAATTAATTTATTTAATGTTTTTATATATTGTAAAAAGTGTTTCGGCCAAATATTTTTTTTTATGTAAATTGTCTGTTTCGATAAAGAAAACTACTGCGATCTATTTTCTCGCTGCTTGGAGTATAAGAATCATACCAGATGATTATTCCTGGATTAAATCTTATTATCTCAGAAACAGTTTACAATTTTCGTGTTATATTTTAAGATAAAATTTTACATATAATTATATAT